CAGGCCTTGGCGCCGTCACAGGGCGCCCCGCAAGGCCGCAGGCGATATGAACCTCCTGGCGCCCGTGCGGAGGGACCGCATCCTGGCGGAGCTGCCCCAGGTAGGCGCCAGGGCCACGTCGGGTTTCTGCCTGCAGCCGGGCGTGGGCGGGGAGAAGGCGGCACCAGACCCGTTAGAGGAACGCGCCCAACCCTGCTGACTGCGGGCGAGGCCTCGGCTTCTGGGTGGTCCGCCATCCACCCCAGCCTTTCCCTTCCCACCCCACCTGGTTCCTTGGCTGTGGGACAGGGACCTGAAGTGGCTGAGCTCCTTCTCTTCCAACACTCAGTGCCTGAGGAAGGAGGCCGCTTTGCACATGCACAAAGACTTCCACCCCCGCGTCACTTGCGCCTGCCAGGAGCACCGGACAGGCACCGTGGGGTGAGTTAGGGAACGCTGAAGTCATAGCAAGGGTACGGGTGCGTGCATCCCCTTGGGGCATCATTTCAGCGTGGTCCCATTTACGCCTCTGGGCTGTCCCTTTTCTTCCAACAAGTTTGTTGGCCCTTGCTGAGTGGGATAGAAAGTGTCCAGCAAGGGGCCGTGGACACATACCACCCACTGAGCCCGAAGGCAGGAGACGCTCTGTGACTCCAGGGATGAGTCTCACTGTAGGTTGAAAGAAGTAATGCTAGTAACAGTTGCTGTCCTCTCCTGAGCACTGCTGGGCATGGTGTTGCACTCCCTCAATCCTAGCACTTGGAGGTTGATGTACCCCAACCTGGGCTACAGAGGTTAAGGTAGGAAGATCACTGCAAGTTCAAGGTCAGCCTGGGCTACAGAGCAAGTTTTAAAGCCAGCTTGAACTACATAGTGAGATCTGTATCAAAAACAAACAAAAAAGGACGGTGTGGTGGAGCATGCCTGTAATCCCAGCACTTGGGAGGCTGAGGCAGGAGCATCGCTGTGAGTTCGAGACCAGCTTGGACTACATAGTGAGTTCCAGGTCAGTCTCAACTACATAGTGAGACCCTGTCTCAAAAAAAGCAAACAAACAAACGAACAAACAAGATCTTGAGTATTTACTGTGTGACAGGCAGTGTGTTAGCTGATATCAATGTCTTTTATTAAATGGAAAACATCACTAAAGATGCATAGATTTCAGAGATGTTTAAATGGAGGGGCAATGTTTTAGAAGATAGGATATTTATGACATTTTAACCTTCACAGCAATTCAAGGAATTACGTATTAAGTTTCCTCTTAACAAGCGTGCAGGGCAAGGTGGTGCATGTCTGTACTCCTTCACTTGGGAGGCTGAGGCACAAGGATTGCTGTGAGTTTGAGGCCAGCCTGGACTAGGAAGTAATGCTGAGCATGGTGGCACATGCCTGTACTCCCAGCACTTGGGAGGCAGAGGCAGGAGGATTGCGTGAGTTCAAGGCCAGCCTGAACTACACAGTGAAACCCTGTCTCAAAAAAAAAAAAAAAAAAAAGAAAGAAAGAAAGAAAGTGAGTTCAAGACCAGTTTTTTTGAGACTTTGTCTCAAAAATCCAAGAAAAGACAAACAAACAAACAAAATGTTGAAACTAATGCTCAGAAAAAGTATAGTCACCTGTCCAAAGTGACACAGCTAATCGGGTGGCAGTAAGCTCAGTGTAGAGAGCTTAGCTAGCATGTGCAAAAAGCCTTGGTTGGGGTCCATCCTTAGCAGCACAAAAAAACAGTAATGACGAACTCCTGAACTCCCGAGGATGAAAACTGGTGTCCACTCTTGTGTCCAGCAGATTTAAAATCTCCAAAGTCATTGTTGTGGGGGACCTGTCGGTGGGGAAGACTTGCCTCATTAATAGGTAAGGGAGTGTTGAGCTTGGCTAGACTGGGTTGGGCAGGGTGGGGCGAAGCCTAGCCATTTGGGCTCAGCTACACAGCTCACAGTACCTGGTGCCTCCTCAGGTTCTGCAAAGACACTTTTGATAAGAATTACAAGGCAACCATTGGAGTGGATTTTGAGATGGAGCGGTTTGAGGTGTTGGGGGTCCCCTTCAGTCTCCAGCTGTGAGTGCTTCCCCCACCCCCTCCCGCTGTGTTTACCTTGGTACCTACACCCCTGCCCCAGCCCCACTGTCCACTTCCCTGGGCTCTGTTCTCCTTCCTCCCAGTTGGGACACTGCTGGACAGGAGAGGTTTAAATGCATTGCGTCAACCTACTACCGAGGAGCTCAAGGTAAGGGCTTGGCCCAGTGGGGCCGAGGGTCCAAGAGAGCGCACCTGGCCTCAATGTGAGCTGGTGTGGCAGTGGTGTGTTCCCTCCTGACCTGGGACTGTTTCTGCCACTCTTCCAGCCATCATCATTGTCTTCAACCTAAATGATGTGGCGTCTCTGGAACATACCAAGTATGTGCGAGTGGATCCAGAAAGGGAAGGTTCTGAAGAGAAGCTGGTTAGGGGAGAAGAATGCACGGGGGTGGGGATGTAGCTCAGAAGAGAGCACGAGTGCAATGTGCACCAGGCCCTGGATTCCATCCCCAGCACTTCAAACAAAGGAAAACAACCATGGCAGGGAGTAGCTGGGCTGTGAGTGCGGGTGGGACGGACCTGTCTGGGCTCTCTCCTTCCTCACGCCTGTCCCCCATCTGGCCAGGCAGTGGCTTGCCGATGCGCTCAAGGAGAATGACCCTTCCAGTGTGCTTCTCTTCCTCGTGGGTTCCAAGAAGGACCTGAGTGTGAGTGTTCACGTGTCAGTGGGGGACCTTCCAGTCTAGGGAGTGGCCCCCATCTGAAGCACACGCCTTCCCACAGACGCCTGCACAGTACATACTCATGGAGAAAGATGCCCTGAAGGTGGCTCAAGAGATTAAGGCTGAGTTCTGGGCAGTCTCCTCTCTCACTGGTGAGTGTCAGGCCTCTGGATCCCTGCCTGCTTCTCCTCTCCTTCTACACTTGTAGCTGTCCCAAGTGCCCCAGACCTGGTGCTGCCCCTGACACCCGTGTGCTCCCCATGTCAGGTGAAAACGTCCGGGAATTCTTCTTCCGTGTGGCAGCACTGACCTTTGAGGCCAACGTACTGGCTGAGCTGGAGAAATCAGGGGCCCGGCGCATTGGGGATGTTGTCCGTGAGTGTTTGCCTGGTTGAGGGTGGCCAAAAGCAAGGGAAGTCTCCTGACCTGCTTCACAGATTCCCACCCTTTTGCAGGCATTAACAGCGATGACAGCAATCTCTACCTAACTGCCAGCAAGAAGAAGCCCACATGCTGCCCCTGAGGGGCGAGGAGACTATCCAGAGACTGCTGTCCGTGGGGCACTGCAACTCCCTAACCTCAGAGCTTGGCCTCTGGATGTTTGCACTGATTTTTTCTAGACCAAAGAGCAGCCATCGGTGGCAGTAACCCTGCCAGGGGCCGATGGGACCTTGCAGATCACCCCCAGGCATCATACCAAAGACTGACGGCCCTCCCACGCCTCTGGAGGTTCTCCTGCCAGGGGAGCAATGTCCCTGCTGCTTCTGCCCAGCCTTTGCGTATGAGGATACTTAATGATTCCAGCCCAACACTGTGCCTTATGCATTAAAATCTTTGCTAGCAGTTGTGGGTAGACTCCTTTGCTGAGAGTGCAGGATTTGTAGTGAGAGCTGTAAGGATATTTGGGACTGGAGTGAGCCCCCTGTGGAGATTTTAATCGTGCTTGGCTCCTGGGCAGGTCTCAGGCAGGTTGGGGAGATCAGAGAAGAGGTTTAGGGTGCTGACCAGACCTTCGCAGGGTAAGATCTAAAGAGCTGGTTTTGAGCACCTTCTCTTCTGTCCTGTCCCCCAATGCTTCCTACTTGATATTTATACCTACATTTCCACCATTTTTTTTTTTTTTTTTGGAACTGGGGTCCAAACTTGTGACCTTGCGCTTGTGAGGCAGGTGGTGGCACTACTACTAAATCCCTACCCGGTTTGTGTCTTATTTTGAGATAGTGTCTCACCCTGTAGTCTAGGCTGGTCTTGAACTCACTATGTAGCCCAAGCTGGCTTTGAACTCTCGGTGTCCCTTCTGCCTCTGCCTCAAGTGCTGAAACTATAGGCATGAGCCACCATGCCCAGCTTCTGCTTTCTTTCTTTAAAAAAGTTTCCCCGTGGCTGGGGTTGTAGCTCAGTGGTAGAGCACTAGCTTGGGCAATACCCTGGGTTCCATCCCCAGCACTATAAAATGTTTAGAAGAAAGAAAATAGATGATGGAGTTTTGGACACTTTATAGGTTGACCCTATGGCCTGGAGAAGGTAGGAGCTTTGGGTCTTATTTAGAAAAATTTTTGAGTCAAGACCTACTTTTTTTTTGAGACTAGTTCTCACTACGAAGTTCAGCTGGCCTTGAACTTACTATGTGGTACAGGCTGTCTTCAAACTCATGGTGATCCTTCTCCTTCAGCCTCCCAAGTGCTGGGATTGCAGGTGTGTGTCTCTGGGTCCAGCTTGGACCTACTGTATCTTTATATCCTTATAATACAACTCCAATACTGATAAAAATGCAGGCAAATCAGTTATCTTCTGGGCATCAGTTTTCCAACCTATTAAATGAGGTCAGTAATACTGAATTCAGGAAGTGTGTGACAGAAATAAGAGAAAGTACCAGCAGAGGCTGAAGGCATTTGCTTAGTAGTAGAACACTGCTTAGCATGTTCAAGGCCCTGGTAAATTCTCCAGCATTGAAAACAAGACAAAACAAAATCCTAGCCGGGGATGTAGTTTAGTGGCACTGTGCCTGCCTGGCATGTGCAAGGTCCTGAATTTGATCCCCAATACAAAGAAAAAAGAAAAAGAAAATCTCAGCTGGGTGTGGTGGAGCATGCTTGTAATCCCAACATTCTGGGAGGCTGAGGCAGGAAGATCACAAGTTTGAGCCCAGACTGCAATTTAGTGTTTTAGTGAGACCCAAAATAAACAGTTAAAAGGGCTGGAGATGTGCTCAGCGTGAAGGCTCCAGGTTCAATACCCAGTAGCACAAAAAATAAAGTACTAACACAGAAAGAAGTCAAACGTTTTATTATAACTACTGTTATGTGAGGAAGAGTGATAAAGCCCCTGGCTTTCTGTTGAACAGCATCTGACCCCAAGTCACAAATTGGCTGGCAGTTCCCCAGACATCCAGGCCAAGAAGGGACACATGTGGCCTCCCGACACTCTGGGAAGTTAAGGAAGGTTAAGATTTGAACACTGATCCTGGCTCCCGGTCAGCAAGTGTTCTTCCCATCCCCTGCCTAGTTCCTTTCCTACCCAGCCACTGTTCAGGAAGGGCTGGCTGTTCTGTAACCCTCCCTCTGCTTCCCCTCCCTACTGGATCCAGATTCTAGAGCTACAGTGGGAGGAGGATCTGGGCAGTGGTCATACTCTCGGGAGTTGGTTCTGGAGGAAAAGATGGCATTAGCAATATCAAGTGGAAAAAACAAAACAAAACCCATCATCCCTTTTCCCTCTCTGCCCTTTGAGGCATCCTCACTTTGGAAGCTGAAGAGGAGGAATTGAGAGGTGAGGTGTGTGGAATGTTGGTGAGGCCTCTTAATTCCTTCACATTGTAATTTTTTCCATCTCTGCACTTCATAGCACTGGGCTTCTCAACCTTGCTCTGCACAGAGGCTGTTAACTCAAGGTGTAAAGTGTGCATCACAGTCCTGGTGTTTGTGGCTTGAGCTGTGGGGAGTTCTGTTTTTGTTTTTTGTTTTGTATCGGGAATCAAACTCAGGACCTTGCTTTTTTTTTTTGGTTTTTTTGAGACAGGGTCTCACGATGTAGTTGAGTCTGACCTGGAACTCACTATGTAGTCCAGGCTGGTCTCGAACTCCCAGCGACCCTCCTGCCTCAGCCTCCCGATTGCTGGGATTACAGGCATGCGCCACCATGCCCAGCTTTTTGTTTTTTCAGGACCTTGCTTTTGCCAGGCAGGTATGGTGTCACTGAGCTAAATCCCTGGGCCTGTTTTTGGCTTTCTGAGACAAGGCCTCGCTATGTAGATCAGGCTGGCTTTGAACTCACTATGTAGCCCTGGCTGGCTGGGAACTTGTGGTGATTCTCCAGCTTCAGCCTCCCAAGTGCTGGAATTAACTGTCGTGTGCCACTATATCCAGTGGCAGTTCCTTGTTCTGTTGGTGGTGTGGGGCGTGCGCCAATTGTATTGGGCCTGTAGGTGGTGAGCAGATTTTCAGTGAACTGTATGGTACAACATGAAAAGTGTGAATACGGTACTTGAGTGTGAAGGGTGTGTTATTGAAATGAAGTGGACTATGAAGGTAGCCGCTCTCTGGACAGGAAAAGCCAGTGGAGAAACCAACAGACTCTTGGGCAGTAAGGTCTCTAGAACTCGGGAGGGAACGCTGAGAGGTGGCATCAGGCAGCTAGGCGCCACCGTGTCCTCCGAGGGAGAGTTCAGCCATGGACGAAGAGAGCCTGGCCTACCGCTGGAGCCTGAGCAACCACGGAGAAGCCCGGATGCGGGTCCGGGGAGGCTTCGCTCGGTGGGCAGGCAGGGGTGAACTCCGGGCTGCAGCTGCGGCAGAGCGCGAGGTTCCGAGAATGGCCGGGGCGGGGCTGAGACTTGGGGCTGGACCGAGGCCTAGGCCAGGAGCCGAACGAGGGGTGGGACTGAGTGTGACCCAGAGGGACTATGGGGGAGCTGGAGCCTCCGATAAAGAACGCGGCTGACGCTCAGCCTAGGGCGGGAGGGGGAGGGGGTGGGCAGGCATGAAGCGGAGCTAGGGGGTGGTCTGGGGCGCAGCCGAGAGTGGAGCTCCGGGGGAACTGAGGTTCGAGGTTAGACTATGCAAGGAAGAGAACTGTGGAAGAACGGGGCTGAGAACCATGTGGGTGAGGACAACAGTAACGATTGAAAGATGGACCGAGGAAAGTACTGGGCGCGAGGCCGGCACCGGGTACAAGGGAGAGAGCTGCGCTGAGGAGGGGCGGATCAGGGGGTCGGGGCGTGGCTGGGGGCCGGTTCGAGCCCGCCCCGGGGAGGTGGGTCCTGGGGAAGAAGGCGGGGCCAACCACTGGTCTGGGGGCGGGCCCACGTGAGCCGTGGGCCAATGATTGAGGAGGAGTCCTGAGCCCGGGGACGGCGTCCTACAAGCTAAAGTCTGGAGCGGTCGGCTGGAGCCTGTTTGTAGGGTTGGAAGGTAGTTTTGTTGTGTTTACAGCCGCAGGCTCAGGGCACTGGGCTTGGCTGAAGCCCACGGCCCACTGCCACCTAGGCGCCGGGGCTGAGGGCGGGCTGTTCCATTGATCCAGGAAGGGAAGATTTCTGGGAGTTCCACACGTGACATCACAATCGTATCCGGCTGGGGGCGAGAGCAGGAGGCATTTCCAAGGAGACGAGGGTGCAGTCTTTCCTTTACACCCTCTTATTTCCTCCTTCCTTTCCTACTTTTTCCCTTCCTCCCTTCCTCCTTCCTCCCCCTTACCTCCCCACTTCCGCCGCTGTGGTGCCCTTTGCCTGTGCCTCCAGAGCTGGGCGCTCCTCGGCCCGCTGCTGACAGGGAGGATTCTGTACTGATGAGCATCACCTGTGAGTTTTGAGTTAGGCTTTTGCCTTGAGCTTAATGCTGCACCAAGGGACACAAGCTCCGTCTACAAGAGACGCCCCCCCCATTTCTTACGAAGTCCCTTGTGTCACTGCTGGTGCAGTCAGCACGTCTTTGTTCTCTCTGGAACTCAAGGACACTCAGGCCTGAGGAGAGTTAGTCTTTTCCTTGGCCTTCCCTCCCCTTCACAAATAGCTGATGGCTGTCAGAGTCTGTTGGAGAGTGAGTCGGTGGAAAACACTCTGACTGCACAGGACCACCTCTCCATGGTGACTGAGCGAACAGAGCCAGCAGAATTTCCGTCCAGGCCCAGACTCAGGCACTTACCTCAATGGCCTTAGGGTACAGGCAGGATAAGGGAGAATGCAGTTAGGATTAGGAGGGTGAGAAATTAGTGTTGATGTGGTTTGAAGACTTGGTTGTAGCACTCATGACCTAGAGTAACCCTTTATATTTATGTGTATCTCTCCAGCCAACAGTAAACAGGGCTGAAGGTGTACAGGCTATGAAGCCAGGAAAACCTGGGTTTGAATGATTCTTCTGCTGTCAGCCTATTTCTGGGCAAATTACTTATTCTCTCTGAGCCTGTGTCCCTATCCATAGAAATTTAAAGACATATTTTAAAGTCCAGCACAGCACCTGGTAATGTGAAAGTGGTCAATTATCTACCTTGGTGGTAGAATGCTTGCCTAAAATGGACGAGGGCCTTGGGTTCAGTCTGCAGCACCACCCCCCATGTCCTGAGGTTTGAACTTTGGACAGAACTTCAATACCTCTGTGGCTCCAGTAGACAGGAATTTAGTCTGTTTTGAGACAGGGTCTTAATATGTAATTCAGGCTGGCCTTCATCTCATTATGTAGCTCAGGGTGGCCTTGAACTCAGTGCCTGAACTATATAGCACCTGAGACCCTGTCTAAAAAGACAAAACAAAGCCAAGTGTGGTGGCACATGCCTGTAATTCCAGCACTCAGGAGGCTGAGGCAGGAGGATTGCTGTGAGTTCGAGACCAGCCTGGGCTACATAGTGAATTCCAGGTCATTCTCAACTACATAGTGAGAGACCCTGACTCAAAAAACCCAAAAAACAACAAAACAAAAAAAAACCCCAAAAACCTAGGGCCAGGGATTTAGCTCAGTGGTACTGCCATGTGCCTCGCAAGTGCAAGGTTCCGAGTTCCATCCCTGGTGTCCCTCCCCTAAAAAATTAAAAAAACACAACTCCTGTTTTGAAAGGATGAGGGGACTATGCATGGCAGAAGTAACAGCAGTTACAGAATGTTTTGTTTAAGAGGCTGAGGCCAGTTTGGACTACATAGTGAGACCCTATCTCAAAAGACAAAGTTCTGGGGCTGGGGATTTAGCTCAGTGGCACAGTGCCTGCCTGGCAAATGCAAGGTCTTGAGTTCGATCCCCGGTACCAAACAAAAGAAAGACAAAGTTCTATTTAAATGTCAGGTATGGTGGTTCCGTGCCTATAATCCCAGCTACTTGGGAGTCTGGATCAGGAGGATCACAAGTTAAAGGACACCCTTGGTAACTTCGCAAGATTCTCTTTCAAAGAATAAGCCAGGCATGGTGGCACATGCCTGTAATTCTAGCACTAGGGAGACTGAGGCAGGAGGTGCACCATGAGTTCGAGGCAAGCTTGGGTTACACAGTGAGTTCAATACCAGCCTGAACTACAAAACGAGACCATCTCAATTTTTTAAAAAAAGGCTGGAGGTAAGGCTCAGGTTAGAACTTTTGCCCAGCATGCAACAAGGCCCTAGGTTCAATCCCCAGCTCTGTATGCCACCCCCCACCAAAAGAAAGTTTTGTTTAAAAAGATGTTTATAGGGCCAGGGATTTAGCTCAGTGGTTCTGTCACCTGCCTCACAAACATAAGGTCCTGAGTCCAATCCCTGGTATCCAAAAACAAAAACAACAAGATGTTTATAGTCTGTAAAGGGAGTGGGTGGTAAGAGCAAGTAGAGGGAGAAGGTAAACTGGGCAAAGTGGTGCACACTTGTAATTCTAGCACTTAGGGAGGCTAAGGCAGGAGGATCCCAAATAAGAGTCCTGCCTGGACAACTTAATGAGGCTCTGTCTTTAAGTAAATAAATAGGGAGAGGGTGCCATTCTGGCCAGTACCTGTAGTATAAATACTGGGGCCAGGATGCTGGAAGGCACCTCATTCCCAAGGTAGAGCTGATATGAGCAGAAGCAGCCACAGGAAGTAATGGTGAAATTATTTGCCAAGAGGAACAGTAGCAGAGTAAGAGTTCCCAGAAAGTGCCTGAAGTCCTTCATTTACTTAATACATTTTGAGTACTTATTCTGCTTTGGAAAACAGGAGGAGCTGGGCTGGGGATGTAGCTCAGTGGCGCAGTGCCTCCCTGGCAAGCACAAGGCCCTGAGTTTGATTCCCAGTACCAAAAAAGAGGAAAAAAGACAAAAAATAGGAGTTGATCAAGACCTGTAAAAGAATGATCAAGTGCTACTGAAGATGTGCTGCTGAAGACCCCAAGCAGTCAGCTTTATTATTATTATTTTTTTGAAACAGGGTCTTGCTATGTAGTTTGAACTCTATGTAGCCCAGGCTGGTCTTGATCTAGCAGGAATCTTCTTGCATCGGCTTCTCAAGTGCTGGGATTATAGGTGTGTGCCACTGCATCTGGCAGCTTCCTTTTGTTTTTGTTTTTGGAGACAGGACCCAGCTATGTAGTTCAGGCTGGGCTTGAACTCAATCCTCCGCTGGGATTTCAGGTGTCCACCACCACGCCCAGCCATTTCCCTTTCTTAAGCAGTCTCCAATCTTCAAAGGACAGACCTATGACTCAGATGTAGCTTAGTGATAGGGCTCTTCCCTCACTTGTTTGAGGCCCTAGATTCAATCCCCAGCACATCAGAAAGTTGGAGGTCACTTATGATACCTCACTGACCAGGGTCTGCACTTGAGGGACAAGTTCTGGAGCTGCCCTCCCATGCCTCCATCCTAACTCCTAATCATAACCACAGCTTCAGCGGTGCTCCTCCAAGAAGTCTTCCATAGTCCTTGCTCATATCTGCAGTCTTGGCAGATGGCCCTTACTCTGTGCTCCCTCTATCTGCGTTACAGTACTTTTGTGAACCTCCCTTGCTCGCATCTCCTCCCCTCCTCCCTCAGCTCTGACAGCAGGAACTGTTAGTTTTTTTGGTACTGGGGATTGAACTCGGGACCTTGCGCTTGCAAAGCAGGCAGGAGAACCACTGAGCTAAATCCCTGGCCTGTTTTAGTTTTTTTGAGACAAGTCTATGTAACCCAGGATGGCCTTGAACTCCCAGAGATCCTCCTGCCTCAGCCTCCCACACCTGGCTGTGTGTGTGTGTGTTTTTTTTTTGAGACAGGGTCTCACTGTGTAGTTGAGACTGACCTGGAACTCACTATGTAGCCCAGGCAGGTCTTCAACTCAGTGATCCTCCTGCCTCAGCCTCCCGAGTGTGTTGTTCTTTTTTAAGTCTCTGCATCTCTTTGGTGAATAGTGGCATGGGGAGGGAGCTGCTACTGCCACTGCCACTGCCACTGTGTACTTTCTCAGATATAAACAGGTTACCCAGCTGGGAGAGAAGACATCCGCTGCCTGGGGTGGCGCCTAGCACTGATGCATCTACCTTCCTTGAAGGTGGGTCTAGGAGAGCTCTGGCCTCGGGTCCTACCACTCCTTAGGAAAGCTGGTCCCCTGGTGGAAGGGTGTGTTTGGTTCAGAAGGGGTTACCAGCTGCCCCCTTCTCACCCTGTTCCCTACAGATGCATAAGAGGGTCCCTCCCTGAGGTGGGAGATTTAGCTCAGTGGTTCCACTGCCTGCCTCACAAACACAAGGTCCCGAGTTTGATCCTAAGTGCCTTCTTTAAGCCTGATCACATTACCCATTTCCTTTGTAGAGCTTTTCTTAGGGGGTAGTGGGGGGGCGGGATACAGGGTCTTGCTATGTAGTTCAGGCTGGTCTGAAACTGTGAGCCTATTGCCTCAGACTTCCCAAGTGCTGGGATTACAGGTAGGAGTCACTCCGCCCAGCTCCTCTGTAGAGCCCTTGATTGTATACAAATACCTTTCACATGTATGAATAGAGTCCTCCCCCAAACCCTGCAAAGCAGGTATTACTACCTAAGGAAATGGAAGCTCAGAGAAGGAAAGCAATTTGCCCTAGGTCACCCAGCTAGTAAGTGAGCCAAGACCGAACTTGGGCCTGCCTCCCAAGCACAGGGCACATGGTGCTGTGCTGCTTTTGTCCTGTTCAGCAGGGCCAGGGAAATGAGGTAGGGATGATATTCAAGGTCCTGCCACACATGTCTCCCCATTCCCCCATTCCAGGAAAGAGAAAAGGGTGTAGGAAGAAAGGAAAGGTCACCGAGTACGTTGGCGTAGGTTAACAGTGGGGACCTTCAGGGGAGAGTCTGAGGCCACTCTGCTGTCTCACCTCTCCAGCACTTTTTGGCCACCTGGCCTTCCACAGGCATGGCCTGGGTTAATTCCAGGCTGGTGGCCAGCATGAGGTCTCGCCTCAGTTCTAACCATCACGGGAGCTGGATAAAGGCATCGTCCTCATGGCCCATTATGAGGTTTAACGTGGGCCCTCTCATAAGTGCCAAGGAACTCATCATTGCAGCCCACTTCCTCCCAGGGTGATCCCAAGCCAGGGGCACATGCAAGAAGGTCCCCTGTGCGCTGCCTGGAATGTGAGATCTTGGGCTCCTGGCCCAGGAGAGGCACATGGAGTTACTTAATGGGTTTATGTTTAATCCCATTATGTTTTAGATGGTTCTAAGGGGTGAACTGGAGCCCTAAGCAGGGCCAGAGGTGAAGCAGCAGGAGTGGCCATGGGAGACTCCTACAGCTGAGCAAAGGAGGCAGGAGCCTTTATTCAGGGTGTTTTCCTAATCCTAGTTCCCACTCTAGCAGCTTCTCTGTTTGCCGGAAAGATGGACCTGGCATCTGTGGTGTCTTAACGGGGGGTGCAGGCTGGGGTGGGCTGTTAATTCTTTGGTTCTAGGAGAATGGGAACTTGAGTAAGGAGCAAGGGCAGAATGGAGATGCGTGTGAGAAAGGGAAAAAGTGTCAGGAGAGGGGATGGAAAGGGGCCGGAAGAAGAATGAAAATGGGCAGGAGAGGGTAGAGTGAGAAGGACCAGCCCAAGAGCTGAGTGTGGCGGCGCATGCATTTTTAGAGGTTGAGACAAGAGGATGGCAAATTCTAGGTCAGCCTGGGCAGTTTATGGAATCCCCGTCTCAAAATGAAAAACAGAACAGGCTGGGGATGTCCTGGGTTCCACTCCCAGTACCGGGGGTGGGGGAACCAGGTGTGGTTGCTCATGCCTGTAGTCCCAGCATTTGAGAGGCTGAGGCAGGATTGCCATGAGTTCAGGGCCAGCCTGAACTACAGAGTGAGACCCCACTGCAAAAGAAACAAACAACAGGGGCTGGGGATTTAGCTCAGTGGCACTGCACCTGCTTTGCAAGCACAAGGTCAAGTTTGATCCCCGGTACCAAAAAGAAAGAACAAGAAGGCACACCAGTGGTCAGGTCTGTGCTTCAGGCTTGGGTTGCCACACCATTGCAGGTTTTGGGGCCAGAGCGCATCAGGGCCCAGGAGGGTCAGACAGGCCCAGCAGCTGGTAACTCTGAGCCACTGGGTGAGGGAAGGAGTCAGCAGAAGTCCTGGAAGGTAAACTCCATAGAAGGGAGGGGAGGTGAGTGGCAGGATGTCACGGGGCAGTGAGGGGAATTGGGAGGACCGCCTGTGTATCAGACAGAGCACCACACATTTTCCAAGGAGTCTGCAGGGGCAGGTGGCTTCCTGAAATGGGTGGGGGACAGGGCAGTGTTGTTTCCAGTACTGACAAATATTTGGGTGGGGGCAGATGAATTCAGTGAAGCCTTTATAGACGGAGGATGTCTCTCCTCCCTCAGGTGAATGCAAGGAGTCTGACGGGTGGAAACACAAACAGTGTTCTGGGCACATCATCCACCCCTTCTCTGACTGTGGTCACCACAACCTGCACCTACATGCTGTCAGCCGCCGTGACTGTGATTCCAGGTGAGGGTACCCTCCTTGGAGGAACCACGGCAGAGCCCAGACTCTCACTGTATCTCCCTGCCTTTGGTTTCCCTCTTCAGCTTTGGCCTGGTACTGGCTAGCCCAGCCCCAGCCTGGAAATCTTATTGTGCTCCAAGAGCAAGAGGGATGTCTTTTGGTGGCCTGGCTAAGGCCGCTGTCCCTTTGGCTTCTCTCTGGATCCCTGGGGGATTGTGGGGGAGCCAGGCTGAGAGTCCCATGTGTGGCAGGCTGAAGGTCTGCTCAGAGAAGGCAAACAGCAGCAGCTCTTGGGACTCGAGCTCAACCTGCTCCCGAGATGTGGGCTCAACCTGCTTCAACATCATCCAGAACCCTTGCTTTCCACTCATCCCAGAGGAAGAGTGTGTGGAGCGATTCTGGTATGGCTGGTGAGTGCTGGCAGGCTGCGGGAGGAGACTGCAGGGATTCCACTCTCTGTCAACCTTCCCTTCATAACCCCTTCCTCCCAGGCGCAAAAGCTATAGGCCTGTCTCTGTGACAGTGATCCACCATCCCATCCACCATGAGTGTGAGACAGATGACCTAAATGAGGAAGAAGAGGAGGGAGAGGAGGAGGAAGAAGAAAGCAAGCCTTCCATCCCAACCCAGGTGGGACCCATTGTTACACCCACTGACCCAGGCAAGGGCACAATCCCTGGTGCTCCTGACTCAGCAGCACCCATCACCATCTGGCGCTCTGAGAGCCCCATAGGGAAAAGCCAGGGCAATAAGGTGACCAAGAAGGTAAAGAAGAAAAAGGAAAATGAGAAAGACAAAGAGGAGGAAATGACAGATGAGAAGGCAAAGCTGAAGAAAAAAGCCAAGAAGGGCAAGTTGATGAAGAAGAAAAGTCCAATGAAATCAGAGTCTTCACCTGCAGATTTGAGCCATTCATTAAGCCCAAGAGAGTTGGCCCGGATGTCAGAGTCCAGTCCAGAAAGCCGAAGAGATCTGGAGAATGAAGACAGTTACCATAACAGGAGACAGGAGGAGCCCTCCAGTGAGGATATCATGGAGTCATCATCACCCAGAAAAAGAGAGAAGAGCACCACCCAGGCCAAGAAGAATGGGACAAAGACCTCTTCTCAAGCCAAGAAGGTGACCAAGAGGAAATCTCCCCCAGTCTCCAACCCCAATCTCAGTTGAAGGCAGGGTGAAGAATAAATGGCATCAAGCCTGTAGCTGACCTCCTGCTGCTGTTCTTCCAACAGGGTTACTTCTTAGAGGCAGTGGGCTCTGGGAATACTGGGGCCAAGGGTCAGGGACTGCAGGGCTATTCTAAGGGCAATACAGCTTCCAGGAAGTCCATGGGAAGACAGATGAAAGGCAAACAGCGGCATAGCTGCCTCTCTGTAACATCTTAGACCAGGGTGGAAGAGTACCACTGGGGATGGGCTTTCTGTCCCTGGAAGACTGGTACGTGTGAAACCCACTTCTGGGACAGGGCAGCACTGTGCAGCAATACCAGCAATAAACTGAACCTTTTCACCCTCTCTGCCACTATGCCTGACCTTTCCCTCCCTAAGTGATTTTAGGGAAGGTGCACATGATACCACAGGGGACGTGACCTTCCTGGCTGGTGTAGTTCTGTTCCTGCCAGATCCTTGTAGACCTTTTGTGCCTAAGACAAAACTGAGTTCCCAGCAGCAGGCCAGCCTGCTTCCTCTGGCTCTTGCCAACACACAGCTGAAGATGTCCTGAATGAAGGGGAGGGAAGCTCACCAAGTCTAGGAAGCAGTGGCTTTTTCTGACTCCTTTGCTTTGCCCTAAGCAGAGGAAAGGGAGGGAGAAGCCTCACTGTTCCAGCACTGACTCACAAAGCTGAAATGAAGCCCTTGTGAGAAAACTGGATTCAGAACAGAAACGCAGTGGTGGTGGGGGAGAGAAACTGGACTGGAGCCAGAGGCTGTGGAAAATGGTCTCCCCTGCAACTTATCAGTTCCCCTTCCCCAGGCCTCTGTGTTGGTGTGGGGTCATCGCAAGCACCCATGTGTGGGGCAGAAAACCCCTAATTACTTATATGTCAGAGACAAAGAACAGCTGAGTAGGGGCCGGGGATTTAGCTCAGTAGCACCACGCCTGCCTTGAAAACAAGTTCCTGAGTTTGATCCCTGGTACTGCAACAAACAAGAATGAATGAACAAAGGGAAGAAAGAGTAGTACAGGGGCTCAAGTTGAGAAACCTAGATTGCCCTTTCTTCATCAAACAGGGAAAACCAGTGAGTGGCACAGCAGACGGGCAGCTGCATGTGTGTGTAACAGTAGCTCCTATTTATGAAGCACAGGGCACTGGGCTAAGCAGTTGATACCTGCCATGTCCTCACAGCAGGCTGATAACACAGGTGTCACCATCTCCCTTTCAATTTTAGTATATGTACTGCCCAAATGAGCACACCATCTCCCTTTGAGATAGGAAAGCCAGTTTAACCCAATAAAAGCTGGCACAGGATCATAGACTCAGAAGGGCAGGATGGTGACCTTGGGCAGTCTGAAGCAGAAGCTGCCTATTCTCTGAATGCTCACTTCTCTGAGGATGAGAAGAGGGACTCACTCAGGGGGACCTCAAGAGCTTTTAGCTCTGCTTTGAAAGCCACTTGTCCAAGAGCAGACAGCTGGAGAGAGGCTTTAGCGAGTGCTCTGTAGAAACACTGTTTATTCAAATGACAAGCAGGAAGCGCAGTGGCAGCAGGTGGGTGACCAGGCAGGGGCTGGTAGGTCAGCACTGTTCCCTTATGTCCCCCACAGTCCTGCTTTGACAGCCACCAGGATGAGAAACACTTTCCCTCCTGCCCCAAACTGAATAAATAGCATCCCTCTCCCCATAAGGGCTGGGGGAAACACACGTACTGAGCTTGGTGCCCCATCACAGCCCAGAGTCAGGTGAGGGCAGAAGCTCAAAATGGCTTGTATGGAGAATACAAAACTGCTCCACTCTCTCTTCTTCCTCCTCCCTGCCACATTCCCAGCCTGGTCCCAGGACAGGTGGTAGATGAGGGTCTGAAGTGGGAAAATTGCTGCCTGGTATACACTGAGCTCAAGCTCACAAGTCTGTCACCAATCCAGGTTGACTACCAAAGAGAATGCCACTTCAGACCACTTATGGACAAAAAAAGAGGGGCAGAGAGTGAGGCAGTGGCAGGCTTTTCACAGCCTTAGAGGTAACCAGAGTCCGAAAAGCAGGCCTCCTACCGATCCATCTCGTCCAGGAGTGGGGTGGCATCTCCAGCAATGGACATGGGGGTGCTTTCGATCATGGGACTGGGGGACGGCCGAGGTGTTAGCCGCTGCTTCTGTTTCCGCCGTTCTGCCTCCTTCTCTTGCAGCCACTGCTCTGCCATCTTTCCCCAGTCTATGGCTGCATGGCTGTTGGACCTGAGAGGGGAAGGAAGGGCCTTTGAGATAATACTCTTCTGGGGCTCGCTGGAAGCCTTTCCACTAGTCACTGGTGAGTGTTCACCTTCACAGAAAGAGACCGAGCATAGGCAGTAGCCTCTCTGCTGTGGCAAAGCAGAAGCAGCAGTGGCCAAATGCCACAATGCCCTTTTGATCTTCTACTATAAATCAAGTCTTCACATAGACCTCAGATCTCAGAGGACCAGGAGCACCTTCGTAGGCTAACCTCCCCTGGTCCTCATGGTAACACCTGTCCCTACCAATAACTTGTTCTATGCAGACATCTGTATACTTACTTTGGCTGCTGCTGCCGTTGCCGGGAGCTGGAGGAGGGCTGGGGCTGGGCCTGGGCAGACTGTGGAGTGGTGCTGGCCTGGAGCTGGTGGTACTGTGGTGTGGTGATGGGTTGGCTTGGGGTCGTGTAGGAATAGCTGGGGGTCATTAGTGGTGTTGCCACGGGCTGCTGGGCTGGTGTTGGGAATACCTGGAGAGGCATGGACAGATCAGTGGAGATGGGTTCTGGGCTTGTTTGGTTTTTATGCAAATTTCTGTCATCTGCAAGGGTGGGCTCAGCACAGAGCTTTGCAACTGAATGGCCCCTGAGCAGAGTGTGGTCCTGAGGAGCAGGAGAAGCCTAGCAGTCTGGCACAGGCATGAAAGCCCACCAGTCCTGTTCAGATTCACCTCAGATTTCTAGTGGCCGGAGGGTTCCAAATATCTCAAAGGAGTCTGGAAAAGCAGACCCCCTGCCTTTATTCCCTTCCCTATCAAATGGTCTAGAGAAAAGGAACATCTATTAGAGATGGTACTTTAGGCTGAGGCACTCCTATCCATGCAAATAAGGCTCCTAAAGGTAGACATGGTCAGAGAGATCTAAGGGATATAAGTTGGTAAGACAGAATTATTCCCTCATTCACCACCCCATGCAGGGAGCCTCCTCCCAAGCCACATACGTGGTAAGCACTGCTGCCTCCTCCACTGCCACCATAGCCATACTGGCTGGAGGCCCACTGGGCTGGGGTGGCGTTAGGGTTCTGACCCTGGCCTGTCACAGCAGCAATAGCACTGAACATCTGTGAAGTCATGTTCTGGGGCAGGGCATTCACAGCCCGTGTTAGATCTGTAAGAACAGAGGCGAAAATCAGCATGTCAGAGGCAAAAGTCCCTCCAGTTCTATCCTTTCCAATCCCAGCCCTGGGTGCCTCACCTGCAAGGTTGATATTGGCTGGGGTAGCGTTGATAGAGGCAGGAGTCCTGGTCCTGCTGCTGCTGCTGGGGGTGATGCCTGTGGGAAATGGCTGGAGTTAGTTTTTTCCCTCCAGAAATCTACTTCTGGCTACTCAGTTCAGGAGCTGGGAAAGGTAGGAGGGAAATTTGTAGAGGTCCAGCGCATAGAGAACCTCCCTGCTGCCAGGAGACTAGGGCAGGGGTGAGACAGCTATAAGGACAGCCTACCAGGCATATATGTGTCCTTCCAACCATATCCTAGAAGTTGAGGGAGAACAGAACTCACCTGGTACGGGATCCTGATAGTGATCCTTAAACCATCTGAAGAGCCCATTCACAGTTGGGAAGATTTGGCCCCGGTACCGGAATCCTTCTGGAGTCACTGTTACATATTCTATCCTGGGATTTTAGAAAGAAACATTTATCAGTATCACTGAGGGTAGCTGTGAGGGTGATCAGAATGGATGTCCACCATGTGAAGTAGCCACTGGGTGCCAGGGGAAAGGAGAGAGGACAGAATCTGTTGCTCGCCCTGTGAAGCGAGGCCTCATGCAACCCAGTACAGTGAAGGCCAAGGAGTGGTCCATGTGCTGTGCACAGGCTGCCTGAAGGTTGTGCCACCACATGGCTGCAGTGTGAAGGCAGCATCTACAAGTGAGGGGAAACAGAGGTCAAAGAATGTCAGGGGCAGAAGGGGACTCCCGGGGTGGCAAAGTACCATGCTTCCTACTCAGGGGTCTTTCTGCAGTGTCCCAGAAAGTGGTTAGTTTGCCCTTATTCAATACTTCTGAGAGCAAGAGAATAACTAATAGAAGGGGCCCTACATTCAGAAATGGTTCTTGTTCTAGTTTGAGCTCTGCCACTTACCGTCTATGTGACACTGCACCAAGTTACTAAACCAGAACTTGCTTCATTAAGCATAACATCACTTAGACCCACAGTGTGGGTGTGGGGGATTGAGGAAGCATACATAAAGTGCTTACCATGACACCTGACTCAAGGTTGTGCTCAGTCACGGAGAGCTATCAATAGGCAGCAGACATTGCCAAGTATGCCAAGTTCTCATTTACATTCAGCTAAAACCTGCTCCCGCATCTTCTCCAAGTGTGAATTCTGCCATATTCGGAGAATGTGCAAGAAGTCTGTGTTCCTTTCCATAGGGAATACAATAGTCCAGATGTGCCCAACATGGGGGCTCAGAGTATGGGGGCTTTGTCATTTGGACCCCAGCCCCACTAATACAGTCTGTGCTGTGTTTCACATGTGCTCAGTACAGGGCTAAGAGCAGAAATGCCTATGACTTGGCCAAGGGCCAAGAGAGGGATGGAGGCCAGGCTTGGGGAGAGAAGGCTGAAGTGATTACTAGTGTGTGCAAGAGACACAGAAGGTAGGTCTAAGGAAACGACTTTCCTCTACCTTCAGGGTGAGCTAGAGAGACACAGGTAAAGGCATGCCTCCTCAAAGGCAGCCTGCCAGTCATGCACAGAAGAGGCACAGCAGGAGAAAAATACACCTGGACCCACCCGCTTCAGTGTGGGCACAACAGCCAGTACACTGCAGCATCAGTAAACCACCATGTGCTGAGACCTTGGGAGGGTGAAGCAGGGAATGGGAAGAGGCCAGTGTGCCGGCCCAGTCTTGTACCTAGGAGTGTCTGGTGATTCCTGTCACTCTTTGGGAGAGAGATGAGTTGAAGGAAACTCTTCAGTGCTGATGAAAGTACTACTTTATATAAATCTTTGCCTTTCGCTTCTAGATCACCACCCTCTTTTCCCATCTCCAACCTCCACCTCAGCTATACTAAGGCAATAGGAGAAAGGCAGTCAGGCAGAACCAGAGCCGCATGGTTCCCTTCTAGCCTGTCTGTGGACGCCAGTGGCAGCACCTTC